CTGAATAACTCAAAGGTTTTTTTAACTGATTCTTACAAAAAACGATGTCAAGATGGCTAAACGTCTTATCTGAAAACCTGGAGAAGGAAAACCTCAGTTTAGTGGTTATTTAGATATTCATTATTCTGAGGGAACGATAATTATACTGTTATACAATTTGGACAATTTTGCTTTATGTTACAATATATATATATATATATATATATATATATATATATATATATATATATATATATATATATATATATATATATATATATATATATATATATATATATATATATATATATATATATATATATATATGTATAGATATATAATATCACACAGAGTGACAAAAAGGAAAGAAGAAAGAAAGAAAGTAAGAATTAAACTGTAGAAGAAAAAGAAAGGAAGAAGAGAAAAAGAAAAAGAAGAAAAGAAGCTAATGGAATAGAGAAAAAAGAATGTAACAGAATGGAGAAAGAAGGAGAGAATAGAAAAGGACAAAGAAAATAGGAAAAAAAAAGAAAGAATTAAAGCAACAGAATGAAAGAAACAGAATAAAAAATCAATGGAAGAATAGAAAAAGGAAAATAAAGAAAGCAACCGAACTGAAGAAGAAAGACAAGAGGATAAAAGATTTAAAAAAGAAGTGAAACAACTAAAGAAAAAAGAAAGAAAGAAAGAGATAAAATATGGCCATTAACAAAGAAAGGAAGAAAGAAAGAAAATATGGCCATTAACAAAGAAAGGAAGAAAGAAAGAAAATATGGCCATTAACAAAGAAAGGAAGAAAGAAAGAAAATATGGCCATTAACAAAGAAAGGAAGAAAGAAAGAAATAGAAAGGGAAAAGGATATAGAAAAAAAATGGAAGTAGAAAGAAAGCAAACGAATAGAAAAAAAAAAGAAAACAAAAAGGGATTTGAAAATAAGAAAGAAAGAAAAAATCAAACGAATAATTCTGATTGAAGGGAGAAAATTATAATGTCAAGAGGAAATGCCATAATCTGAAGAAAAGAAGGTAAATAAAGGGGAAAAAGAAAGAAAGTGATAAAGAAAGAAAGGAAACAGAATACAGAAAAAAGATAGCAACATACAGAAAAAAAGAAAAGCAGGAAAGAAAGAAAGAAAGCGGATATAAAAGGAAGACAAAAAAGGAAAAGGTATTTGCAAGAAAGAAAAGAAAGAAAGAAAGAAAGAAAAACAAACTTGACTGTGAGGGAGAAAAATTTAATACGATGTCAAGTAAAAATGCCATAATCTGAAAAGAATGACAGCCATATAAAACGAAAAAAAAAATGAAGAAATGATTGAAAGATGTAGAACTTTAAATGTGTGAATGATTTTTTTTTTTTTTTTTTAAAGAACTCATTTTTTTTCAATATCAGCCTCGTTACAATCACTGAGATTGTCCAGAGTAAACGAACGACAATAGTGATCGGATTATTACTAATGACTTTACACCACACACACACACACACACACACACACACACACACACACACACACACACACACACACATATATATATATATATACTACACACAAACATATATATATATATATATATATGTTTACTATTAAGACGACGAGATCGTGATTTTTCTATGGACTATGGATGACATGAGGGACTATATTTATTTCCAAAATCTAATTACGATCCTTAATAGCATCAATAACATCTTAAACGTCGAGAAGAGACTGAAAGCCGGAATTAATAATAATGGTAATCCTTTTTTTGTAGTGGAAACTGACGTAGCAGTTATGTCAATTTTGTTGCAAAGAATCTGCACAAGACGCCGCTAATGGTGGCTAATGAGAGAGGTATGTCCGTTCGCCAGAAAGGTCCAACATTTTAACAAAAAAATTCTCAAGTTATTAAAAATTGCCGCAAAACATTCCTGATTTATTTAAGATGGAATGATCTAAATGGTGTTTCATTAAGACGGATCAAAGTCAGCATTAAATAAATCAGTGTTATTGGTGAAAATTTATTTATTTCTCTATTGGATCATGTTATTTAAGTCATGGCCAGGACGCCATTATTTAGGAATGTACATTGTGATGTAATGGTTATCGTCTCAGAGAGCAGATTTCGAATTCCAGTCGAGTTCGTTGGATTTACTTACGCAGAAACACCCCTGGGAAAGGTATGACTCCATCTGTTCTCCCCTAGCTATGGGTTGACTAGCAGGACAGACTAAAATCTTTAGCCTTGGTTGGCAATCAGTATACGGCAGAAAAAATGGCAATCTGCCTCAAAAGATACACGTTCTCCCAAGCGTGTATCATGTATGGCACTTAAATGACTGACATACTCCTTACCGAGCTGCGAGAATAAAATAGTTACATTGGGTATACAGCTACATTCCTGTCTAAATGATCCTTACCATTCGGATCAGAGCTCCATTAGGACCATTTCAATACAAACAGAAACCTGCCAAATTCTATCTATGATATACACGTAGAAAACACCAACAGAATACACTCATCTAACTGCAGAAAACGCTTACAAATAATAGAAGCTTTAATAATAAAAAAAGAAACCTACTCTTTATAATATTTATGGTCACAATTTGTAGACTGTGTTCGGAATTTAAAGAAAAATATCTCTATAAAAATAAGGGAAAAGGTATATATTAAGACAAACAAAAGATCCTTGTAATCATTAATAGATTAGTGCGCTCGTACCTAATGATCATTTGCATAGATCTCAAAAACTCTATTTCCCCAAATACATCTCTTGTATTCATGCAAAAAAAGAAGCTTTATCAGACTATATTTTCAGTTCACTCCAATGAAACCTGTATGAAAAGAATATTGCTGCCCAAATACACACACACCTATATATATATATATATATATATATATATATATGTGTGTGTGTGTACATACAAATATAGGATTGGTGTATACGGAATAAATTCCAATGACCAACAAATACTATTCTTAAAAGAGTGCCCAATACAGAGTAGAGCAAATATAATTATTTATTCGAAAATTATAACATAAATATGTCTTATCAAATGATGATGTTCACAATCATCACTTGATAAGATACCAGAATTGTTGAAACAAAATGGCTATAGTGATTTTATAACATATTTATGTTATAATTTTCGAATAAACAATGATATATATATATATATATATATATATATATATATATATAATTATTTATTTAAAAATTATAACATAAATATGTTATAAAATCACTACATATTCTTGGATATATATATATATATATATATATATATATATATATATATATATATATTACAATGAATCATTCATACAAAAAAGTAAATTAGTAAAGTTAATGATATAATATGGTGAATTCACTTCGCTAACTAAATTTTAAAAATTCATTAACCCACTAACCACTCGATGAATGTTATAATCCTTGTTTTTTTTATATTATAACTGTATTAGGTCTTCTTTAAATATGCAAGTACTTTCGACGTGTCGTCCGGTCATCATCAGGCATGGAAACTATTTTCTTTTTGGTAAAACTCAGGTAGCATCCGAAACGAAAAAATATAATGCAAATCGAAATATGTGTTTTTTTTTTAAATGTGATATTGATAACAGATATAAACTTGTGGAGCGTGTAGTCGCAACGTTAAGGTTGAATTTTTGAAAATTTAAGTGAGGCCGAATACAGTTTATAATTTAAAAGAAGAAGGATCATAACATTCATCGAATGATTATTGGGTTAATGCATCTTTAAAATTTTGTTTGTGAAGTGAATTTGTCATTTTATATCGTAAATCTGTTGCATGAATGATTCGTTATAATATGAATTAAATTTCACCACATATTTGATATATATCAAATATATACAAACATATATATATATTTGATATATATATATATATTTAATATATATATATTTTATATATATATATATATATATATATATATTTGATATATATATATTTGATATATATATATATATTTGATATATATATATATATATATATATATATATATATATATATATATATATATGTCGACTTTGAAGTTTCGTGAGGGCATAGCAGTAAGGGTGAAAGCATTACTTCGAATTCGATATGACTGAAGCAACACCACTCAGCAAAGTGATAAGTTTCGCCATTAAAAGTGATAAGTTTCGCCATTAACGCTCTATCCTTACTTTAGGATACCGAACACTTTATGACAAAAAAACTGTCTGCTTAAAATGATTTCCCATTAGTAAACTATGGAAAAAATAACCAGTAATTTTGCCACTAAGACGCAAGGAGTTACCGAGTGTCTGATAATATGAGAAAAATATACTATTAAGGAGAAAGGAAATAAAAGAACAAGAATTAAGAAGATAGAAGATAAGCATTGTCCTGGAGGACACTGAAGAAGGCTGGTGCGTACAATGCTCGAAACTTTGTGAAATATGACAATAAAGACGAGGACAGCAATCCAAACAATGTAAATAGTGTAATTAGAAGGGGTTCTCTCATATGATTAAAAGAGAGCTGTTTCGTTTTGGAGGCGTGGAAATTAACAAGTCACTTCTTGCCCGATTTAACAACTGATTTAATACATACGGAATGAGTAGATCTACGTGACTAAAAATCCTCCACAATTTCAGGCATTCAGTTAATTTTGAAACCCTAGCGAATTCATCTGTGGGACGATCTCGATAACAATGACATCCTCGTAGGGATATATGCATGTATGCGTTTTCTTATGCATAATGCAGTTAAACTTGTATGTGTGTGTGTGTGTGTGTGACGGACTCAAGTAAACAATTTTAGGTGCGAAACAATTTAGAGAAAGACTTCTTTCACACAATTCCTCAAGTTTCTGGTCGTCATCTCTCTGTAGAACTGAATAGGATAAGTGCCATTTTAGAACAAAGCCGTATTTGTTCCTAATTTTTCATTCTTTAATTCTATTCTTGAGATGAAGGAGTTTCTTTAGAGCTCCATTTTTTTTTCTTTCACTTCCAGTTAATCTGTCCCCATTGGAAATTGTCGTTTCTTATCATTTTTACAGCCAAGCTACTTTCTTTCTTTCTTACATTTTCTCTTTCTTTCTTTTCCTCTTTCTTTTTCTTTTCCTATTTCTTTCTTTCTTTCTTTCGTGCATTTTCTCTTTCTTTCTTTTCCTCTTTCTTTTTCTTTTACTCTTTCTTTCTTTCTTTCTTTCTTTTTCTTTTCCTATTTCTTTCTTTCTTTCTTTCGTGCATTTTCTCTTTCTTTCTTTTCCTCTTCATTTTTCTTTTACTATTTCTTTCTTTCTTTCTTTCTTTCTTTTTTTCTTTCTTTCTTACATTTTCTCTTTCATTCTTTTCCCTTTTCTTTTTCTTTTCCTCTTTCTTTCTTTCTTTCTTTCTTTTTTTCCTCTTTCTTTTTCTTTCTTTCTTCCTTTTTTCTTTCTTTTTCTTTTCCTCTTTCTTTCTTTTCCGCTTTCTTTCTTTTCCTCTTTCTTTTTCTTTCTTTCTTTCTTACATTTTCTCTTTCTTTCTTTTCCTCTTTCTTTTTCTTTTCCTCTTTCTTTCTTTCTTTCTTTCTTACTTTCTTTCTTACATTTTCTCTTTCTTTTTCTTTCTTTCTTTCTTTCTTATATTTTCTCTTTCTTTCTTTTCCTCTTTCTTTCTTTCTTTCTTTCTTTCTTTCTTTCTTTCTTTCTTTCTTTCTAATTATTTTCTCTCGTTTTTCTTTTCGTTATTGAATTTTCATACTTTTTAATTATAATTTCTTTCTTTCTTTGATTTTCTATATCATTTCTCGTTTTTATGTTCTTGTACGTTTTTCTTTTTTCACTTGTGTTTTTTCTTTCATTATTTGTCCATTCTTCTTTCTTTCCTTCCTTCCTTTCTTTCTTTTTCCATTTTTCCTCCTTTTCTTTCTTTCTTTTTCTTTATTTCTTTGTTTTTCTATTGTTCCTTCCTTCCTTCCTTTTTCCATTTTTTCTTTCTTTCTTTCTTTCTTTCTTTCTTTCTTTCTTTCTTTCTTTCTTTACTCCCCTATATCTTTAATCTCTTTCCTGGCATTGTTATATGCATGGAATACCAAGATGGGAGGAATCTTTTAGCAGCTCTGCCCTCTCCTGATGACCTATTTCGTTTCTAACGTGGCATTTCTTCATTGCACGGGTCAACACCAAACAGTTGTCCCCTCTTTCCCAGAGTGGAATTTTTATTGCAACTCATAGTGATTCTATCTTCAGAAGCCCAGCCCTAGATTCTTCTCCACCCTCTGCATTGCAGACCCCATCCTGCGATCCCTAACTCGACAAACAAAACAGGACTTGTGCTACACTCGATAAAGCGTCTCCTTTTTTCACCTCACTTGTTAAACCGTCATTGTCTTGAATACCAGATTTCGGCGGCATAAATCATTCTTAAAATACATCAGCAACACATGGAGAATGAAAATAACACACACATACAGACACACACACACACACACACACACACACACACACACACACACACACACATATATATATATAGGGAGAGAGAGAGAGAGAGAGAGAGAGAGAAAGAAAGAAACACAGAGAGAGAGAGAAAGAGAGAATAATTATTTTGTTTTTACATCGTTTTTTATCCCTCAATCCAAGCCCTATTTTCTTTCTTTCTTTCTTTAACTGTTCACTATATCTTTCTTTCTCTAATTTTCCAATTTTGAATTTTCAGTTTCTTTCTTTCTTTCTTTCTTTCTTTCTTTCTTTCTTTCTTTCTTTCACACCTCAGTATATCTTTCTTTCAACAATCTCCTTAACACTGAATTTTCAATTTCTTTCTTTCTTTCTTTCTTTCTTTCTTTCTTTCTTTCTTTCTTTCTTTCTTTCACACCTCAGTATATCTTTCTTTCACTAATCTTCCTTACATTGAATTTTCAGTTTCTTTCTTTCTTTCTTTCTTTCTTTCTTTCTTTCTTTCTCAGTTCATTTTCTTTTTTCAGTTTTTCTTCTTTCATTTGTGTTCTTTCCTTCTTTCTGTCTCTCTTTCTTTCTTCATTCCTTTTTCAGTTTGGTTCCATTCTGGTTGTTCTTTTTTTACTTGTATTCACTTCTTCTTTGTCTTTGTTTCTTTCTTTCACAGTTCTGGCCTTATTTTTATTTCTTCTTCTTTCACTTGTGCTCTTTCTTTCTTTCTTTCTTTCTTTCTTTCTCAGTTATGTTCCTTTTAGTTCTTCTTTCAATTGGGTTCTTTCTTTTTTTCTTACTCAGTTCTGTTGCTTTTTAGTTCTTCGTTTTTCACTTGTGTTCTTTCTTTCTTTCTTTCTTTCCTTCTTTCTTTCTTTCTTTCTTTCTTTCTTTCTTTCTTTCTTTCTTTCTTTCTTTCTTATTACTCTTCTATATTAGTCCTTCTTTTACTTGTATTCTTTCCGTCTTTCTTTCTTCGTTTTTATTTCCGTTTCTTCTATTTTTTTTCTTTACCGCTTCTTCGTTTCTTTTCCTTTTTCGCCCCTCTTATCTATTTTTCAGTTTACATTTTTCTTCTTCATTACCTCTAAAACCAAATCAGTAACTTTAACATCATGAAGTTCTTGAATTCACCCCCATTTTTTCCCTATCGCTATTTCCAAAGAAAATGCTCTGACGAACTACATTAATAAAAGCCACCAGTTCAGACCTTCACAGCTAAAAGCCACGATGCCAGGTGCACTTGGACAAAACCTCTCCAATCTCTTCCTCACTCCATTGCTAAGAGGGAGGTTCCACGCAGAAAGCGCCTGTTCAAGAACTACTACTTTGCGGAACAGACTCCCGAGATGGTGCTTCCCCGTTAACAACAACCTGAACCTCTTCAAGTGTATGGCCAACCGTTATATTTCCTACATATCCTTATAATCTGCACTTCTTACCCTCTCCCCTTACGTTCATCGAACAACCTCATTCAGAAGCCTCTACCTTGAGTGGCTCTTCATTAGAACAATTTCCGTGAAAATATTTATAGAAATTTATAGACAATGAAGCCACATCACGGCTGTGGGAAAGCGAGTGAAAGTCGAGTTGCCAGATCAGGACCAAAAACATTACGAACTGTTATATAAGTGTAAGTGTCGTTGCCGACATTGTAGTTTGAAACTAGATCGCCAGCGAGTAACACGGGCGATTCCATTATTAAGTAGATCACGTGATCATAAGGAAAGTGAATAATTGCTATACCTTAACCCTCTCTACAACTATACGGATTACGATTCTCTTCTGATCATTATACTATTTGGCAATTACTACTTGATCAAGTATTACTAGTGTGGATATTATTGGAAGACGTTACTACTAATACCGGCGTCTACGAAGCGTTTTTGGAAGTGATAATAAGCTTTTGCTTGGCATAGCAAAAGTGACAAGCGAAGCTGTCCAACATTACAAAAGTGGCGACGAGGAATCACAAAACAGACCCCTAATTTTGTCAAGAATCTCAAGAGATATAGCAGGAACACCAGACCAGATATGGCAGCAATATTCAATGCATGAACGAATGATAGATTTATAAATGTGCGAGATGGATTGTCAGTTCCCACATAGGGAACCAGCTTTCTTAGCAGCGGACCTAGCAATTGATTCAATATAGTTTTTCCACTTCATGTCAGTGGAAAACGTGTAGCCAAGAAGATGTAAAGTGTTGCTCTCCTGGAGTTCTATGTTTCTGAGGAAAAGTTTTTTTATTTTTATTTTTTTAAATATCATTTCACCCAAAGCAATGTTAGAATGAGAAGTGACAATAAAAGAACAGAATCTTTCGTGTCTTATTGTCAGTTATTTTGATGGGACTTTCATAACTTGTAGATCACAGGTGTTTGTAGAAAAGCAGAAATATTAGCAAAATGGTTTGATTTCACTATTTTTAGTGAAGACAGGAGGAGACCAGTTTAGATTTTTATACCAGCAAAAGCAGGACAAATTTGTACATTAAACTTAAACTGACATAGATGTGTTTTTGTCTGTAAATATTTAGAAGACTATGAACAGGGCATGTAACAAAGTTTAAAGGAGAATAAAAACTTCTGAGGAAATATTTTTTTTTTTTAAATCATTTCACCTAAAGCAAGATTAGAATGAAGAGTGGCAATAAAAGAACAGGATTCAGGAAGACAGAAGATAGTGATTGACATTGCATTTAAATCTTTGAACTTTTTAGTTGACAGGGAACTAAAATGGTTCCCTATGCTGATTAAAAGACATCAATTTCGTTTTGAAGACGTTAAACTTTTCAAACTATTTCTTGCCCCAGTTAACAACACATTAACGGTCATTTTCCAGAGCAGCTAGCAGTCTTATTTTGTCGGATGCATCGTACTTGTTTTCAGGAGTAAATAATTGTGTCATCAGCATAGATACTGATTGGATGAAGTTCATGAATTTGATGACATCGTAATTGTGAGTTCAATTCCTGGACTGGGGAGTGTTTACTAGGACTCAGTGAAAACGAGGCGTTCAAATATCTGTCTATATCCCTGAGATACGGTATTATGATTACTTGCATTATTTAGATTATTCGGATTGTTATCCTCATCTTCATTGCCATATTCACAACGTTTCGGCCGTTGTACGCTCCGGCTTTCTTCAGGTGATTGGAATTTCGAACCGAACCAATGGTACGTGTAACTAGAACAATCTACTCCGCTGGACGAAATAAAGGTTTCGGTTCGAAAGGTCAATCACCGGAAGAAGGCCGAATTGTAGAACGGCTGAAACGTTGTGATTAAGGCAGTAAAAACGAGGATAACAGTCCGAGTAATGTAAATATTGCAAGTAATAACAGGGTAGTGCTATATAGGAACTAGACAAGTTATCCCTTAAATATAGACAGTGGAAGTAAGATAAGCTAAACATGGAATGCTAATGGCGTTCTTATAGCTGTTTTCAAACAAGGAAATAGTTGGCATTGATTGGCTGAGCAGCCAGTACTGCTTCTGTTTGAAATTTATAAAATCTTTCTCTTAAAACCCTTTTTTCAAAAAAAAATTTGTAGGAAAAAAGTTTCTCAGATCCAGTAGCTATTATCGCTCTTTCCATTACGGATGGCCGTTTCCTTCTTCATTTTTATTTATTTTCTCTTCGAGTTACATGTGCAATTCGTTTTAGTTGTTGCTGCTGTTGGTAGTCATCAAATGATGTGGTTTCTGTTATTTGGTACAGTTCTCTGTGATTTTGAAGCGCCAGTTCACAATGTTCGAAGAAGGATGATCTTTGCTAAGACCTTCAGGTTTTACAAGTCCACAGCCTTTCTAGATTTTATTTCCATTAATATCAGGAAGCGGTTATGTGCAGCTGACAGTTTAGATATTTCTGAACGGGCTTGACGCCATGCTTTACATCCATATAAAGACTTGATTTGTCGAGGCTATTTAAGAACATGACTCGAGTATTTATGCAAGACTACGTCTTCTTTTCTCCCAGGTGTCGATGGTGTGAAGAACAATTCAGATTACACATTTTTCTTCTTTTTAAAAGTGTCGTGTCACTTCAGTATGTGGGCGAACATACCTCTCCACGATGTTCTAACGGTGTAACTCTGAATAAGGTCATTAGGCCTTCTTTCCTTCTATGAGCTGTCTACTTAGAACGTGAGCGAAAACGGCTTTCCACAGTCCTATTCTTTCTATATAATATCTTTAGGCCTTCTTTACTTCTACGTACTGTGTCAATTAAGAATGTGAGCGGAAATGGCTCTCCACAGTGTCCTATCTCTTGTCGCTCCGAGTGAGGTCTTCAGATCATTTTTTCTTTCTATATGCCGTGTACCCTCAAGGTGTGATCGGATATGGCTCTCCACAGTGTCTTATTCCTTGTATTTATGAGTAAGTTCTTTAGACAATTTTTTTCCTTCTATGTACCGTATCCCCTCACGATGTAAGCGAACATGGCGCTCTACAGAGTAATATCGTTTGTAGCATTGAATAATGTCTAAGTCTTCTTTCCTTCCGGGAGAAAATCGCTCTCCAAAGTTGTTCCTGCTGTTGGTAGTCCTGTTCTAAGAAGGATGATCTTTGCTAAGACGTTCAGGCTTTACACGTTCAAAGCCTTTTTTTTTGTCAATGATCTCAGGAAGCGGTTATGTGCAGCTGACAGTTTAGATATTTCTGAACGGGCTTGGCGCCATGCTTTACATCCATATGAAGACTTGATTTGTCGAGGCTATTTAAGAACATGACTCGAGTATTTATGCAAGATTACTTCTTCTTTTCTCCCAGGTTTCGATGGTGTGAAGAACAATTCAGATTACACACCTCTCCGCGATGTCCTATCCGTTGTAACTCAATAAGGTCTTTAGGGCTTCTTTTCTTCTATGTGCCGTGTCCACTTAGAACTTAGAACAAAATATCACAAGGATTTCGAAAACGAAAGACGTTTTTTGTACAAGGTTACGTCTTCTTTTTCCCCCAGGTGTCGATGGTGTGGAGAAAATACCAGGTTACATATTTTCTTCTTTTCAAAAGTGTCGTGTCACTTCAGGATGTGAGCGAACATACGTCTCCACGGTGTTCTATCCGTTGTAACTCTGAATAAGGTCTTTAGGCCTCTATGTCCTCTCGCTTGTAGATTTTAGCAATCTCTCTGGATTATTTTTCTTTTATGTGCCGTATGTTTGGCCTCAAACTCACACCTGATCTCATGATGCAGGTAAAATGGTCAGATCCCTATAACACTCCAGTAAGTAGCAGACTCCTCCTGCTATGCTCTACATTTACAAGTGATAGATCAAGCCAAAAATGGAGTACTGTTGTCATATTTAGGCGGAAGCTGCCGAGACAGCACTCTCCAGGCTTAAGCATATCTCTCCACGATGTCCTATTCGTTGTAACTCTGAATAATGTCTTTAGGCCTTCTTCCCTTCTATGTACTGTGTCCACTAAGAACGTGAGCGAAAATGGCCCTCCACAGTGTCCTATCGCTTGTAGCTCTGAGTAGGTTCTTTAAACCACTTTTCTTTCTATGTACCGTGTACCCTCAGGGTGTTATCGAACATGGTCCTCCACAGAGTCCTGTCCCTTGATGTATTGCTTTCGTAGCAATTTGTAGTGTAGTGTTAAACTACTTCTGGCACAGTCTATTTTATGTTCACTTTATTCTTCCCCTATACTTAATTTGTTATTGCTCATCCATCTGCTGAGGTGTCTGAAGGATTTCGTGTTTACTAATTCCACATCCTGAATTTTTACGATGGAATCAGGGTACGTGCCATCACCGCTTTCATTCAAAATCATAATTTCTATTTTAGAAATGTTCATCGTGAGTCCTATTTCTTGGAACACTGGGTAAGGGATGTCGATAGACGATACTAACAAAGATTACATAAAGGATTCATTTTTAAATTCCAAATAGGTTACCCAGTTTGACATACACCTGACGAAAACCGTTGTGATAAAAACAACAAAGATGTAAATCATGTAAACAATATCAGGAGGACTTTTAGGCTAGCTCCTGCGGATGGCTTTTGGGTCTTCAGCCTTTTACTTTCAGCATCCTATGTATGGAAATGTTATAATGAATTCAGAAATAATAAAATTATTTTATCTTTATTCAACACATTAATTCGGCATAATCTTTCTTCGTATACGCAACCAATCTCCGTAGTTTTTTTATATTTATTTTGCGTGCAATTTTTTAAAAATCACCATTCTTTATGATCTCTTCACATAAAGTCACTCTTAAAAGACATTAGGGAACACGGACTATGTAATATTTCGAATATGTTACACTATGTATGCTAGAAAAAAAAAATCATATGAGCAATGTATCGTACACCGCTTAAGTCTTAAGATTTAATTAGACGATATCAATTGCTACTGCGACGAAAATTGGAATTAAAGTTAAACCTTTAATACAGATTTTTTTTCTAAAACTTTCACACTGTTCGTTATTTAAATTTAACTTTAAATGAGTTATTTATTTAATTTTTAAACGCGTGTAACTACAGCAGTTGCTGTGTGTTACTTCAAGTCGTTTGATTCACCGAGATCGAAAAAACGGACAGACAGATACACGTACCCTGTGTTTTATTTATATAGAAGATTATACCCATTGTTTAATGATGTCATAACAATTAGTTTGAATACCAATTAAAATGCATTGGCAATACAACTAATGAGACGGGTGGATATGTTTTACTTTTGGTAACTAAATTCTCAAAGTGTGGATATGCTGTTGAGAGTGCAAGTCACAAATTTGAAGTCACGTGGGGACGGGGTCGGTATTTGGTTGACACGTTGCATGTTGTCAAAATCATGCTTCGCATAAGTCATGGGAAATTGGATTCGAAATTTCTGGGCTCTTTGTCCCACTTCTGGTTACATATCACCTTTTGAGTGGAATGCACACAATTTTTGTCTGCTAATTTTCATCATTCTTCCCTACAAAATATCACAGGGATTTCGAAAACGAAAGACATTTTTTATACAAGGTTACGTCTTCTTTTTTCCTCCAGGTGTCGATGGTGTGATGAAAATTCCAGGTTACATATTTTCTTCTTTTCAAAAGTGTCGTGTCACTTCAGGATGTGAGCGAACATACCTCTCAACGATGTTCTATCCGTTGTAACTCAGAATAAGGTCTTTAGGCCTCTATGTCCTCTCGTTTGTAGATTTTAGCAATCTCTCTGGATTATTTTTCTTTTATGTACCGTATGTTGGGCCTCAAACTCACACCTGATCTCATGATGCAGGTAAAATGGTCAGATCCCTATAACACTCCAGTAAGTAGCAGGCTCCTCCTGCTATGCTCTACATTTACAAGTGATAGATCAAGCAAAAAACGGAGTACTGTTGTCATATTAAAGGCGGAAGCTGCCGAGATAGCACTCTCCAGACTTAAGCATACCTCTCCACGATGTCCTATTCGTTGTAACTCTGAATAACGTCTTTAGGCCGTCTTCCCTTCTATGTACCGTGTCCACTAAGAACGTGAGCGAAAATGGCCCTCCACAGTGTCCTATCCCTTGTAGCTCCGAGTAAGGTCTTTAGATCCTTTTTTTTCTTTCTATATACCGTGTACCCTCAAGGTGTGATTGGATATGGCTCTCCACAATGTATTTTTGAATAAGGTCTTTAGATATTTTTTCCTTCTATGTACCGTGTTCCCTCACGATGTAAGCGAACATGGCTCTCTACAGAGTCATATCGTCTGCAGCATAGAATAATATCTTTAAGTCCTCTTTCCTTCTGGGAGCCGTGTCCGCTCAGAACGTGAAAGAAAATGGCTCTCTACAGTGTCCTATCTCTTGTAAATCTAAGTAGTGACTTTTTCTTTCTATGTGTAGTGCCCACTGAGACCGTGAACGAACATGGCTCTCCACAGAGTCCTATCCCTTGTAACTCTGATTAAGGTCTTGTTATATAGGAATAAAGTGACTCTGCTGACACTGGAGTTTGAACACAGATCACCAGAGAGCAAACACAGGCTATCCCTTTTGAAATAAGCAGATCACGTGATGGCCAAGGGAATGTATATATGAGAATTAGCGTGGTGTCTAAGTGGTCACTATTTCTACACTATTTTCTATTACTATACGAATCACTATATTTATTCTACCCTCTATTAATATACGAATCACTATTTCTACACTATCCTCTATTACTGTACGAATCACTATTTCTACACTATGCTCTATTACTATACGAATCACTATTTCTACTTCTTCTCTATACTATTCACTATACTATTTCTCTATACTGATCACTATTAGGATCCCTATACGGATTACTATTCGGTTATTACTATTCGGTTATTACTATTCGGTTATTACTATTCGAGCGACTATTATCGAGCAAGTACTATTAATGCGAGTGTTATTCGAAGGTGTCTGACACTAGTATTGTTCAACGGCGTTACTATAGTTGTATCTGCGATTACAAAGTCTCTACTACAACGAGCATTGCAAAAGTGGCAACGAGTATTTGTTGACATCACAAAAGACTATTTATTCTTTCTCTGTACACTCAGGATCTGAACGAGCATGGCTCTCCACAAAGTCCTATCCTTTGTAGCTCTGAGTAAAATCTTTAGATCATTTTTCCTTCTGTGTACTGTGTCCCCTAACATGGCTCTCCACAAAGTCATATCCCTTGTAGCTCTGAATAAGGTTTTTAGGCCATCTTTCCTTCTATGAATTGTGTTCACTTAGAACGTGAGCGAAAATGGCCCCCCAAAGAGTCCCATTCCTTGCATGTAATGGTTTTAGGCGTTATTTCCTTGTATGTGTTGTGTCTACTCAGAACATGCTCTCCACAGAGTCCTATCTCTTTTAGCTCTGAGTAAGGTCTTTCGTTCATTTTTCTTTCTATGTATCATGTCCTCTCAGGATATGGTCGAACATGGCTCTCCACAATGTCCTATCTCTTGTAGCAAAAGTCTTTAAATCATTTTCCTTGTATGTACAATGTTTCCTCATGACGTGAGCAAATATAGCTCTCAACAATGCATTCCCCTTTGTAGCTCTAAGTATGTTTTCCTTCTATGTGTTGTTTCCTTTCAGCCCGTGAATGAATATGGCTCTCCTTAGAGTCCTGTTCCTTGTGCCTTTTAATAAGGTCTTTAGATATTTTGTCCTTCTATATGTCGTGTCTCATCAGAATGTGCATCAACATGGCTCTCCACAACGTACTATGTCTCGCAGCTTTTAGTAAGGTCTTTAGATATTTTTTCTTCTTCGTGTCCAATCCTTTCAGGACGGGAGCGAATATGGCACTCCACAACATCTTATCCCGTATAACTCTTAGTAATGTCTTTATTTTTTTCTTTTCCGTGTCGTGTTCCTTTCGGACGCGAACGAACGTGAGTCTCTCCACAACATCTTATCATGTGTAGCTTGTAGGAAGGTCTTTAGATTTTTTCTTCTATTTGACGCGTTCTTTTAGGAATTGGACGAATATAGCTCTCTCCAACGTCCTCTCACTTGTAGATTTTAATAATCTCTCTGGATTATTTTTCGTCTATGTGCCGTATATCTTCAGGACGTGAAGAAATATAGCCTTTCACAACTTCCTGTCCTTTGTGATTCTCAGTAACATCTTGAAATCTTTTTCCTTAATATGACAGTCGTACCAGTCACCATTGGAGCACCCGAAATGAACCCGACAATTTTAGCTAAAAATCTGAAGAAACTTGTAACCGGAGGAATAGCCGAAAATAGCCTGATAATAGCACTATTGAAATAAAGAGAGATTACTGAGAAAAGTGCAGAAGGGAGACTTCTTGCTGTCACAGGATTTCCAATTAATACTGAAAGTGAACATTCAATACAGTTACTATTACTCCTACTACTTTAACTAATAATAATAATTATTATTATTGTTATTATTATTATTATTATTATTTGATACGCTCTCCGATTCTTCGATGTTCTTATCCTAAGGTATTACCTCTTTTATGGTCCATTTATGACTGCTCTTGTCAGTGCAATTGGCGTGAACAAATATAGCTCTCCATAACGTTCAGTCCCTTATAGCTCTTAGTAAAGGGTTACAATTGCCAGTCTTCTCTATTATTTAACCTATAGCTAGGGGGAGACATCAGATGGATTCATACCTTTCTCAATGGCATTTGTGCAAAAGTGAATGCAATACAAGATGGCGGATTTTGAAATCGGTTCACCGATTACTTATTTCTCGCCGATAACCGTTTCACTTACCTCAAACTTTCTTCACGTATTATTTTATCTGTGGATTGCCATGATTTGGGAAAGATAGTGGAGTGGTTTGCCTTTGACTTTTCAACAGTTTTAAAATTCAAAGGTTTTTTTTTTCTCTCTTTGCCGCCTTTATTTTTCTTTATATTTTTCACTTCCTTCTCTTCTTCATTCGTTCAGAGTTACTTCCCGCTTCTTCGTTTTTCTTCGTGCCTTTCAGCCAATTTTTCTTTCGTTCTGTCTTTGAAAAATAAGTTTCGCGTCAATCCTTCCTCAGCCTTATTTTCATTACAACTCTTCCCGCATATTACAGCCAGTTCTCCGTCCAATGACCATTTTCAGCGAGTCTGTTAATAAATTTCCTCTCGCCTAAAGCTGTCGTCTGCTTTTCCCGAATTTCAAGGAACTTTTTCATTATCTCGTTTTTATACGCACCTTTCTTCCAGTGGACGGCGATTTTCTTTATCTTTTGGCTCGCAACTTCACACGCCCCGAAACTTTTTTTTTCTTATTTATCGTCTGCTCTTTCATTTTCAAGTTCTGTTTTTAGTTATATATTATTATTAGTGTTATTGTTCTTTTTTTCTCTTCATTTTCTCTTCTTTTTCAATGTTTTCTTTATTTTATTACATTTCTCAAGCCTCCATTTTTCTTTTTATCTGTCTTTTCTTCTTCTATTACTTCTTTTTTCCCGTGCTTTTCCCTTACTTAGCTATCCTCATCAACCCTATCCTTTTTTATTTTCTTATTGTTTACCTTCCTTCTTCTTCTTCTTCTTCTTCTTCTTCTTCTTCTTCTTCTTCTTCTTCTTCTTCACACTAATATCCGTATCTATCTATCTATCTATCTATCTATCTATCTATCTATCTATCTATCTATCTATCTATCTCGGTCTGTTCATATCTATCTATCT